GGGTACTGAGTTCGCATAGATTCTTCGGTCTCCCAGGTTGCTTCTTCCACCGCATGATTACGCCATAGTACCTTTACCAAAGGTACCGTCTTGTTTCTTAACACTTTAGTTTCGCGCGCCAAGATCTTAACTGGTTCTTCTTCGTAAGACAAACTCTCGTCGAGGGTTACAGCATTGGTCGGCAACACATGAGTCGGATCTGAACGGTATCTACGTAGCATGGAGACATGAAAGACGTCGTGAATCCTGTTCAACTCTGGTGGCAACTCTAACCTGTAAGCAACAGGTCCTATTCGCTCCAGAATGCGGTAGGGTCCAATGAATCTAGGGCTAAGCTTCCCTTTCTTCCCGAACCGTAGGACCTTCTTCCAAGGTGAAACCTTCAAGAATATCATGTCACCAACATTGTACTCTATGTCTCGTCTCTTTAAGTCTGCATATGATTTCTGTCTGTCCGAAGCAGTGCGGAGTCGGTCTCTGATCACACGAACCTTTTCCTCGGTTTCCTGCACAATATCTAGTCCCTCGAGCTTACGCTCGCTAAGCTCTGTCCAACAAATCGGGGTTCGGCACTTTCTGCCGTAGAGTGCCTCATACGGAGCCATCTGAATACTCGCCTGGTAACTGTTATTATATGCAAACTCCATCAATGGCAAGTAACGCTTCCAATCTTCTCCAAAGTCGATCACGCAAGCTCGCATCATATCCTCGACAATCTGTATCACCCTCTCGGACTGGCCATCGGTCTGAGGGTGAAATGCCGTACTAAGGTTCAAAGCTGTGCCAAAAGCCTTCTGAAGTCCTCTCCAGAACTTCGAAGTGAACCGGGGATCTCTATCAGATATGATTGACAGCGGTACACCGTGCAACCGAACTATCTCTCTAACGTATAAGTCTGCCAATTTGTCCAAGGAAGAGTCACGTCTGACGGGTAGAAAATGAGCGGACTTTGTCAACCTGTCAACAATGACCCAGATGGCGTCATTCTTTCGTGAAGATCGTGGCAATCCGATCACAAAGTCCATAGTGATCCTTTCCCACTTCCATTCCGGAATGGTAAGAGGGTGCAGCAACCCTGTCGGAACCTGGTGCTCAGCCTTGACTTGCTGACAAGTCAAACAGCGTGCAGTGAACTCGGAGATTTCCTTTTTCATAGCTGGCCACCAATAGGATTTCTTCAAATCCTGATACATCTTGTTACTACCCGGGTGCATAGTGTAAACGGTTCCGTGAGCCTCGCGTAACAAGCGATCCCTTACTTCACCGCGGGGCACCACTAGGCGTTCACGATAGTACAAGACTCCGTCATCGCGAATTGCAAACTCGGGCCTCTTTCCCGTAGGAATTAACTCTCGAGTCTTCTGACAAAACTCATCATCTCTCTTTGCTGTACGGATCTCCTGCTCTAACGGAGAATGAAGCTGTAGCTCGGCTAACGATTTTCTGATCAAGGCATCGGCCACGATGTTAGCCTTGCCCGGATGATACTCAATGACTAAATCGTAATCCTTGATCAGCTCCAACCATCGACGTTGTCTAAGATTCAGTTCTTTCTGGGTGAGTAGGTACCTCAAACTCTTGTGATCGGTGAAGATGTGAATCCTCTCTCCAAAGATGTAGTGGCGCCAAATCTTCAAGGCAAACACCACGGCTGCCAACTCTAAATCATGCGTCGGGTAGTTCTCCTCGTGAGTCTTCAACTGTCTCGATGCGTAGGCCACTACCTTACTCAACTGCATCAGTACACAACCTAAGCCGCTATGAGATGCGTCACTATAGATGGTATACTCGATGCCAGGAGTAGGTTGAATCAAGACTGGGGCCTGGGTCAGGCACTCCTTCAGTTGATCAAAACTGCGCTGGCACGCTTCTAACCACTCGAATTTGATGTCCTTACGCAGTAGCTTGTTCAATGGAGTAGCGATCGAGGCGAAGCCCTTAACAAATCGACGATAGTAACCGGCTAACCCAAGGAAGCTCCTCACCTCACGAACATTCCGCGGAGTCTTCCAATCCACTATGGCTGAAATCTTGCTGGGGTCTACCTGGATACCGGTGGCAGAGATAACATGCCCTAAGAATGTCACCTCACTCAACCAGAATTCACACTTAGACAATTTTGCATACAGCTTGTGTTCTCTCAACACACTCAAAACCAATTGCAAATGTTTAGCATGCTCCTCCTGAGTCCGTGAATAAACCAAGATGTCATCGATGAACACTACTACAGACTGGTCCAAGTATGGTCGGAACACACTGTTCATTAGCTCCATGAACACTGCCGGGGCATTAGTCAATCCGAAAGGCATGACTGAGAACTCATAATGCCCATAGCGTGTTCTAAAAGCAGTCTTCGGAATGTCTTCTCTCTTAACGGAAATCTGATGGTATCCAGAACGCAGATCAATCTTCGAGAATACTGTAGCCCCTCTGAGCTGGTCGAACAGGTCGTCGATGCGAGGCAACGGATAACGATTCTTCACTGTGGCTTTGTTCAACTGCATTTAGTCGATGCAAAGTCTCATGGATCCATCTTTCTTTCGAACAAATAACACCGGTCCTCCCCATGGGGAAATGCTAGGTCGGATGAATCCCTTTTCTAGTAGCTCTTGCAACTGAGCCTTCAACTCCTTCATCTCGGCAGGTGCTATACGATACGGTGTAGCAGATATGGGTTCCGTACCCGGAATGAGATTGATCGAGAACTCTACCTCTCTCGGCGGAGGTAAACCAGGTAGGTCTTCAGGAAAGACATCGGGGAAGTCGCAAACCGTACGAATGTCCTGCTGACGTGGCGATTCTTTTCGCATATCCTGAACGTGACACTGGAACATCTCGCACTTCTTGCGAATCAAGCGCCTCGCGCTTAAGGATGATATGAACTCGGGAGCCTTGGGGAACACTTCCCCGGAGAGTGATACGTCGCTACCGTCCTCGGCTCTCAGCCGTACGGTCCGACAACTGCAGTCGACCACTGCTCTATGCTCGGTGAGCCAATCCATACCAAGGATAATGTCAAACTCCTTGTGTGGTAGCTCTATCAAATCTGCAGGGAATTGCTTCATTTGCACGGACAACGGACATCTATGATAAATGTGATGAAGACGCATGCTATGTCCTAGCGGATTCGATACAATGGCAGGCATCTCAAGGTCACTCCTCACAATCGCAGAATTAGCAGGCATGCCAACACAGATATAGGAGAGCGTAGAACACGGATCAATCAAGGCATGCATAACCGAATCAAATAGTATGAACGTACCCAAGATAACATTGGGACTAGGATCTGTGCGCCCATGCATGGCGTAGGTACGCGCTGGTGCCCGGCCTGACTGCTGCGGACGTGGTCTCTGCTGATTATTTGCGGCCATAGACTGCTGACTCCGTGCTGGATGTGATGCGGCAGGCTGATCCGGAGCTCTAGGTAAAGCAGGCTCGCTGCTAGGGTTTGTCGGGCAATGCCTCCTGAAATGCCCTGGCTGACCACAACCCAAACATAAGCCTTGGGCGAGCCAACACTCGCCCGGGTGATGCCTACCACACTGAACACACTGCGGGTGGCTCCTCGTTCTG